ACCCAGAGGAAAAGCTCCCAAAAGCGAGATTTTTGAAGATCTTCTCAGAATTTGGCAGAAAAGTGGATCATATCGTGCTAAAATTTTGTCTTTCCCCAGTCATCGCCGTATAGCTTCCCTTCTCAATGTCACTCTCGCACTCACACTTATAATCTGGAGAGAAAAATCAAATTCACCCAGAGGAAAAGCTCCCAAAAGCGAGATTTTCGAAGATTTTCTCGGAATTTGGCGGAAAAGTGGATCATATCGTGCTAAAATTTTGTCTTGTCCCAGTCATCGCTGTATAGCTTCCTTTCGCAATGTCACTCTCGCGCTCACACTTATAATCTGGAGGAAAAAATCAAATTCACCCAGAGGAAAAGCTCTCAAAAGCGAGATTTTCGAAGATTTTCTCAGAATTTGGCGGAAAAGTGGATCATATCGTGCTAAAATTTTGTCTTGTCCCAGTCATCGCTGTATAGCTTCCTTTCGCAATGTCACTCTCGCGCTCACACTTATAATCTGGAGGAAAAAATCAAACTCACCCAGAGGAAAAGTTCCCAAAAGCGAGATTTTCGAAGATTTTCTCAGAGTTGGGCGGAAATGTGGAAGCATAGTGAATACTGAGATCAAATGTGAGCGGATCAAATGGTATGCTGCTATAACTGGGTTTGCAACAATGTCCAGCTCGCAATTTCAACACCCTTGGCACGCGCTTGCGTCTTTCAACACACCCATTGCAGCAGCAGAGCGTACCCTGCTTGTCGTGGCCTCTCGTTCGCGCTAGGACCTCTGCGTCCTCTTGACCTCATGATCGCACCGTCGCGTCTCTACACAATAAGGCCCCGTTCGGAAACTGGCGTCTATTCAAAACACCCGCTGAAGCATACATGTGGGCGGACCATCCTCGCCGTCTCGTTTTTTGGGATCGGGTTTATATTATAGGAGAGGATAACAGGAGCTTATTATGCAAAATAGAAGCATATATAAGATAACAGGAGCTTATTATGCAAAATAGAAGCATATTAGAGTATCTGACTTGTTATAGCATAGAAACAGTAGGCTTAAAGAAGCCATACCAAACGTAATAAAGGCTACTGCATGACGAAGGCGCAGAAGCACTATTAGTTGAGCGGGTGCGAACGCAGCCGCGCGTATCTTCACAGTTGTAAATGCTGTGCTTTATTCTGCGGCTAATAAAGGCGCGATCGCTCCCAAAGATAATGCGTCTTTGTCGTGCGGTAGCTTATACTTTATTTCAGTAATTAGCATGTCAAATCCCTGACCAATGTAGCAAGTTCTAAGTTTTCCGAATAATGGTATCTCGTTTGTTCTATTTTTGCTTTCATTGCGTATGCTTTCATCAATTATAAGTGAGATTGAAAAAGGCCAAAGGTCAAATCACTCCTGTGAAGACCTGGACAAAGGTCTCGTCTCTGACCAGAGATCTATTAAATACATAGTAGGCATTCCAAAATTTTTCGCCTTTTCTGACGGGCGTCACATTTGATGGTATTTATTGGGTTGGCACATAAGTAATGCAACTTTTTATATAACTTTTGTCTATTTGAACGTAGCGCATTCATTTTTTGGCAATATAAGGAATATGTTGTAAGCTTCTAATGCACACATTTTTGCCGAATCTTACCATCTTATGTGAGGATTACGGTGGGTTTACGTACTATGGGAAAAATTTTAGAATGCATCAAATTTTGCTGAAACTTCGCCTGTAAGGCTTAATTTACATGCTGATCACAAAAATGAGATCTGATTTGCATGAAAAGGCCTCGTTCGTGAGATCAAAAGTGAATTTCATTTTAGCGACAGATGAATATGATATTCGTGTTTAGCGCATAGGATTAACCTATGGTGCAAAGTTATAGCGAATTCTGACTTTTTGCAGCTTAGTTATTGGCAAATGCCTTCAAAACTTGACGCATTTGACTTGTTCAATTTCCCAAAGGCGCCCCACATTGATTTGTGTTTGAATTTCATTTCTTTTTTACAGACTTCAATCTGTCCACTTTTAGCTACATGCTGCCTATTATTGCTTCTTGATATGTGCAGTTCAGGTTTCGTAGGGCTTCATGTTTGCCAAAAAACCGTGAAACCTCAATTTTCAGCAGTTTTCAAAAAATGCTTAGATTTTTTATACTACGTTATTGAAGATCAAACGGTTTGCGCAGACTTGCAGCTTACCTCACGTTCTACACGATGCCACAAAATGAGACTGCTACATAAAATAGGAAAAAAGTTACGGGAAAAGTTGCAAAACTTATGTGCCAACCTAATAGATTTCTAAAAGATCTTAGAAGCAATCTATGCAGTATTTCATCTTCTTCCTACTGGTTATGATTTCATTGCAGCATACTAACGAGCTTTTGGATAACCAAAATCTGCGTCCCATGCTTTTGGAAGAGGCCAAGTTTCGCTATTTTCTGAATTTTTATGACAACCTCAGAAGTAGTCCAAGTAAGTGATGGGTAGAGCAAACCCCACAGAAAACTACACAACTTTTTTCTTTTCCCTAGATTATTTTCTGGAATTTCTAAAACAGTTGTTTGATGCAATATCTCTATTTGGTCCCTGAACCTCATACAACAACAACCGGCAAGAAACTCGTGTGTCTTTAAGGCATCTTCTTCTCTTCTTTCTACCAGCTGTTTTTATTTCCGACTTATAAAGTCTTCGGGGATAAAATTACCATGATTCATATTTTGGATGAGCCTCAGGTTGTAAACGAAATTTTCGAAATTTCCTATTTTGAAGCAGTAAATGCTCATTTACTTCACTGTGTCAATAGTATTGAATATTAAACCATAATTCACGGAAGTTGCAAGTTTCGAAGATTTATTGGTGTTTTATGCTTTGTGCCTGTGACAAGCCTGCTAAAAATCGATGTGAAAAATCTAACAAAAAATTATGGCGAGCTTTCGAAAAAAGAAAAAAATTGCAAGGTTTCCTGTAGAATTTGCTCTACCCCAGTGGCGTACCCAAAATTTCGGTACAAGTAAAAACAAGACCTCTGCACATTTTTATAACACATTTAAGTAACTTTCAAAAATTTCGCGACCCATTCTCGGGGGGGGGGGGGCGCCCCCTCCCGCCCCCCCCCTCCCCCTCGGTAGCCACTGCTCTACCCACCAGTTACTTGGACTCCTTCGGGGAGCTGGTATAAACATTCAAAAAAAGAGCGAAACTTGACCTTTTCAAAAAGCATGGGTTCCAGATATTGATTAGTTTCTGAGAGCTCGTTTAAATACTGCATTAAAATTATAACCATTAGAAAGAGGATTGTTGCACTGCATGCTTCCAAGATTTCCTAGGAATCTTCATACCATCAACTGTGGCGTCCGCTTGAAAATAGCGATCGAACTTTTAGAGTTGACCTGATAAATATTATATTTTTTACCACCTTCTCTTCTAGTATACGTAAAGGCTTACCTTTGATTCAGGGGATTGGGCTGGAAGGCGATCGTTCGCACCCTCGGCGCAGCTGCTACATCTCGCGGGCGTATTCTCTAATTATTCCCTGGCCTTGATTAAGCCTTGATGCCCGCCTTCCAGCCGCCAATCCCGTTGAATCAAAGGGTAGATTTAACGCACTAACGTAACCTGTAACTGCCATGAACATGGAATGTAAGAAGCGCTTCTATCTTCCCTAGGAAACGAATCGGAAACATTTACCGTAAACAGAAAGGAAAATTAGCAGTTTTAACGATATAAGAAGCCTGAATGTATAAATGCTTTGTAGGCAAATTGATAGTGTGTGGCACAATCCCAAGAAGCTTTGGCAGGCACACTTTTTCTGGGGTTGTGCCACACTTGATTGAGTTACCTCCGAAAAAACTTTTACCAAACAATATTTACATGATATTCGATGCTCGACCATCCTTCAAACTTGGCATTTTATGTTCAATAATTAGTTTTTAGTAAGTAGTAAGCGTTTCCGAGATTGTTATCCGTTTATCAATACAACGACATCAGCACATCGGTAAGCAGGTCGACGTTTCGGCAGGGTCGCCTTTCAAAGACCTGGAAAGTAAGTCAGCATATTCGACGCTACAAAGGTAGACATACCAGGGTACCAAGGTATTTCTACCCTCGGAGCATCGAATACACTGACTTACTTTCCAGGTCTTGAAAAAGCGACCCTGCCGAAACGTCGACCTGTTTACTTGCTGATGTCGTTGTATTGATAAAGATAACAATTTTGGAAAAGCTCACTACTTACTGACAACTAATATTTACATAACTGTGAAGCTTAAATCTCGCAGTTTTCATGGGATTTGAGCCTGATTTGTCTTTTTTAGAATATGTAACAGTTGCTAGAATCACATGAAAAAAAAGAAAAATAGGACAAACCAGATTTTGGCTGGCTCCCAATTCCGTAATTTGAAGTGGAAATTCAGAAAGTTAGCCAACTCATCTTTAGAAGAAAATTGATTGTTCAAAAATGGCCATTCTATCTGGGTGGCACAATGTTTAGAACCTCAGAATTCTCTAAGACTTGATCCACAGAAGTTATTTGACATTCTAACTACGAATATGTTACTTTTCATGTTTGGCCTCACGTCAGGCTTAGGCGATAAAGCTGGGGTCTACTGAGACACTAAGTGGGGGGGGGGGGGGGAGTCTATCTGACGGCTCTTGCCCGTCACTGATGATGGGGTATAGAGGTCAAGGCAGTCACTGATCAGCTTGTTACGCAAACTTCGGATAGTAAATGTTATGCCATTAGAAAGACGCTGATTGATGTTCTGCTTAGATGCATGTTGACATCGCATTTTAAACCATAGAGATGTTTAAGTGAATAATGTCGAGTCATTCATAACTAGATATGCATACTTCACATCTGGCTATTCGACGACTTGTAAAATAAACTGTTTATTTACTAAAATTTCTCTCGGCTTTCATCATAAGTTAGTGGCGTCGGTTGCCTTGCGAAGTATGCAGCTACTCATTGAGCTGCAAATGACTCACGCATATGTTTATGGTAGATTTACACGTTCATATTATAGTTTGTTGCTGAATTGACGAAGAAATCTCCAGATCTTGGCGCAAGGTTCAAGAACATGATTGATTCACAGAAGAAACACCTTGCTATGCTCAAGCCGGAAGGGCAAGCATTCGTCAAAGATGTGGGTTGTATGGTTTTACTCTATGATACAACGAAAATTTCTATTTAGATAAAAGACTTTGTATGGAACAAGAGTAAGTACTTTGAGCCTACGGCACTGCCTCCTACTCTTATGGAAGCATTACTGGGCTTTACTGGAAAGTTCAGTGCTTTGTCTGACGATGTTAAGGAGAATGTGAAGAAAGAATTTCCTCGGCTTGCAGCATATTTCATAATTTAATCACAATTTCATTTTCTTTTTCTTTTTTATCAAGACTATTCAGGCGAGGAGACAGCGAAACATCTTTAAGAACAAAGGCTTCTGTCGTAATTTCTCTTTTCAGCATTTACGAAACATGAAGAGCAATGTATAAAATCTTATAAATATTCTAAGTTTTTGTTCGCAATTCTGTGTTGCACGTGTATGTAAATTATTAGGATGACTCAAGATTTCTTGAAGCTTTTTAAACCAAATCTGCTATTACTAGAAACCCAATGCATGTACGCCTTCAAAGATTTGCAGTTGTACTCTCTCTCTATTTCTCTCGCCTGCAGCTGATATCTAAGCAAATGTGAGCTTATGGGTCAATGGGGGCAAAGTATGCCATTTTCCAAAAAATTATTTCAATTAATAATAAGTATGAACAAGTCACTTGCACATTTTTATTACTCTATAAGTAACTTTCAAAAATTCCGCGATCCATTTTCGGAAGGGGGGGGGGGGGCAAAAGCTGAAGCTGACTTTCGCGTCAACCTAATACTAAACACAATATTATGCTTAAAAGAAAGGGGATTGTATACATGAGCCGCAGTCTTTGCGCACATTGTTTCCATTTGTCACTTTGATGGCGAACTCTAACCAGGACATATCCTATACTGACATGTTGTCGCGGTATAACCATCTAAAACTAACTGATTTTGGTTTGTACTCCATTCGTGAAGGGTAAACTGCGTCCTAGTCGTTTCGTACCTAAAGATGTGTTAACACACTCTTCCTCCAAACGGCGCTTGCCGTACTTATATACTACTGTATATTATAGCAAATTTGGAGATACTCGAGAACGGCAGATAATTGATAAGCCAATTGATGGTTTTAATCTCAAACGTTATACCGTAAATTGCTACAATTATTGTTTATATAATTCACTGATTTTTCTCTCAAGCGAGATTGCCAGGCATTGTTGGACAGTACTGCAAAAAAAATGATCAAAAAAGCAATTGTGCTGACAGACATCATACGTGAACTACATACGCTTACCTTCCCGTAACTATATCTGACGTAAAGGCACCACTTACCCCTGAGGGTAGTAAGATTTTGATGCTTATGATAGCGAAGGAGCCAAGTCACGCTGCAGAATTGATTCTAAAGCGGAAAAATTTCCCAGAAGGTAGAAGCGTCCAAGATGATTTCGCCCGTTAATGTTGGTAGTTTGAAGATAATAAATTGAGCTCTATATCTAGGTTTGTCATAATTGCGCCCTTCATTCTGATTATGCTCTACGTATTTACTTCTTGGAGCTTACTCTCTTTTAAATCAATTTTTTTGCAGGTACTATAATACAGCATCAAATTTCCACCTTCTTCAGAGCGGGTGGGCGGTGCTTTCAGCAAAGATTGCATTAGCATACATGGCACACCCATCCAATACGATTGCATGGCAAGGAGATCAGGGGAGGTATCTGTCAATCTCCTGTACATTATACTTGGGTAATTCGATAATTTTTCATCGGTGAATGAATATCGAATACATTCGAAAAGGAAAAATTTCGAATAAACAAGTATCGAATAAATTCGAAAATAAAAAATCTCGAATAAATGAATATCGAATAAATTCGGAAAATCAAAAACATCGAATGAATGAATTTCGAATAAATTCGGAAAATCAAAAATATCGAATGAATGAAGTTCGAATAAATTCGGAAAATCAAAAATATCGAATGAATGAATATCGAATATATTCGAACATTGGAAGTCGAATTTCGAATAAATATTCGAATTATTTATCGAATAACTAAAGTAATCACATCTCAAACTTCCAAAAATCGATAAAATCGATGAAGTAAATTTTTATCCATAATCAGCACTCTCACTCAAACCCCTTTTACCAACTCGCAACCGCGTAGCTCAAGATTTTCCAAAAATCGATAAAATCGATAAAGTAAATTTTTGCTCATAATCAGTACCCTCACTTACCCCCTTCCTCAGTGAAGCAAGCACGAATGCCCCTATAACCCCGGGCATACTGCAGGCATTTCAGTGGCGACGCGGTATGGCATTACTCAAATTGTCCAAAATCTATTCTGAAAGTACAGAATGCAGGGCATTTATCTTTTTAGTATGTTGTACACGCTAAACATTTGTGGTAAGCTGCCATTACATCTGAAGACATCTCGTAACTGGCAAATCGCGTACGGCGATCTAAACCGTCTAATCCTGCTCTACAACTGCGATGTCCTTTACTCAATATACACCAATTCGCAAAAATCCAAGGTAACGAATAGGCAGTTTTGCAATAATACTATCTTCTGCGATGTTTTGCCACACAGGTTTGTTATAAGTACTATTTATTCAGCCTGACGTTTCGGCAGTAATGCCTTCCTCAGAGGCCTGAAAGATAGTCTGGCTCAGTATTCGCTGCTTTATACGATGCCGTCCTCCACTTGCTTCATTCAATTCGTTCTAAGTGGACGGACTGAGTCCTCATGCTACGGCAACTCACCAATGTCAGCAACGTCGCTCACTTACGATCCACCCACTGATGACAAATGACTGAACTGTCACAATAATGGACAGCTTAAGTAGTCGTGGGTATCTTATGGCTGACAATACGATATGAACGGCATAAGATCGCTGGATAGACAGCTGTTCATTCTTGCCGTTTATCTTTGGCTGACGCTAGAGGATGAACGACGCTTCTAGTGCTTTGCGAGCCGCAATTTTACTTTCATACGCCAAAATCGTGCACTTAACGCAAAAATCGTTATCGCCGTGATCTGCTCTATGTTTTCCAAGTGGGCTCATCGTGCTCCCCCGTTTCTTACTGGCTAGATGTTCGTTAATGCGGATGCTGAGTAACCCGTCTCTCCGATATAGGTTGCATGACAATCCAGACATTCGAGTTCGTAGACTACGCCAAACTTGGCACAATCCCCTGCTCTGCCATTAGGGCATACAAGGCAGTTCTGTGTGATACAAGCCGTATCATATAGACGATTACGTACTAGCTGTCGCTTGATGTTGTTTGCAGTGTTTACGAGTACAACATCTTGTTTCAGCTGTGCTTGTATGATACACCGTTTGAACTCGTTTGTGACCCTGTCAGAGATGAATGGTAAACTCAAGGGAATCATGGCTCTAGTTTGGTCATGTTGTTTACCATTAGGTGTTCTTTCCGAATGCCTGGATCTTGCTGAAAAGTAGCCGTTATTTTCTGCAACCCTCCTTGCGAGCTTGAAAGATTTTTGTTTTTCTTCCTCTCCACTGCAAACTTCTGCGGCTGTTTTAAACATGTTGAATACAACTGCTTTTGACCGCGACCGGATGACCAGATTTGGCGTGTAAAATGATATTTTTGGAATGCTCCTTACGATACCATTTCACGCGGACGTTGCCATCTGATAACATCAGCTGTGTGTTAAGGTACGGTAACCAGCCGTTTCGGGGTTTCTCTCTTGTGAACTTTATGTTTTGCGATTGCTCGTTCAGTACGCGAAAACACTCGTCCATTTCGGACTGTGTTAATGTTACGACCAGACAGTCATCAACATATCGACAATACATAATTGGACATCTGGATAACACCGGTCTCCTATTCTGCTCATGAAACAGATAGCTAGAACAGGTGCTAACCTTTGTCCCATCGCCAGCCCTCTCAATTGCGAGTAGTAGACTACCGACCACTTGAAGATGTTACAGCTGAGAAATTCTTTGATAAGAGTCATAATACGCGCTTAGCTGAGACCATACATCGATATGGAAGAGCCAAAAGCATCAATCATCTCAGAAAGCGCTTGAAGAGCATCACTGTTTGACATTCGTGTAGAGTGATGTTACATCAAATGACTCCATTGCGTAGCTATGATGGAATTTAGCTTGAAAGAAAAGCTCAAGGAATGTCTAGTGTTAGGCAAGTGAGACGGGACTTTGCACAGGAGTTGGGCGACAATTTTGTTCAGAAACCATGAGATCCTATCGGTTGGACCGTTCACACAGCTGATGATTGGTCGAATCTTAAACGTAGAGGCGGACGCAGACTTCAGATCGTTTGCAGCGAGCTTATGCGTTTTCAGCAGACCGTAAAACACGGGACAACACAGATTGTCAATTTTGAGCCGACTCAAAAACTTTTCGTTCAGACCGGCTTCCCTACCGAGCAACAGCCAAACGTGGTTTAAGCGTTTGCACTGGGAAAGGTATTCTTTCTCAGTTGTACGACGATAAACGTTGTTGTCAGAAAGGTGTTGCTCACATATTTCGCGATCCAGTTTTTGAGAGGCTTACAAACTCTCCTCCTTTGTCACTAACCGATAGACGAGCGATCCCACTTTTTGTAAGCCTTCATACTTCATCAAAATCCTGCCACTGTTCGTAAGACAAATTGAACTGCTTGATGTTCTTGTACTTGTTCAAGACTTCTAATATGCCAGAACAAAGTATTCGAAATGTAACATCAGCAGTGTAGCACGGTTCCGGCTCTTTATAGAATGACGAAGGGAAGGGGACGGTTGGTAGAGTACGCCTGTTTAGTGCATTGGTTCGAGTTTGTTCATCACATCTCATTCTAACACGAAGCTGATCCCTTAATTGTTGGAGCAATCCGATAACTTTGCGGTATGTGCTGGCATTTATATTTTGCGTGGGTGCGAAGCTAGAGCCAAGGCTCAGTAGACTTTCAGCACCGGATGAAAGATGAATATCGCCTATCGCAACAACCTTATCCGTTTTGTCGCTGTCAGTATCATTGGAAGATGTAACTTCATGCGAGCGGTAATTGGTAGGTTTGGAATTGCCATTTACACGACGATTAAGATCTCGTTCACGTAGAAGTCTTTCGAACTTATTGCGAAGTGTGGATTTAGTGTTAGATCGTAATAAAGCGCAAAAAAGCTTTGACTTCCCTTCCTTCCCTACGGCTGGTTACCGTACCTTAACACACAGCTGATGTTATCAGATGGCAACGTCCGCGTGAAATGGTATCGTAAGGAGCATTCCAAAAATATTATTTTACACGCCAAATCTGGTCATCCGGTCGCGGTCAAAAGCAGTTGTATTCAACATGTTTAAAACAGCCGCAGAAGTTTGCAGTGGAGA